TCCTATATCAGCATCATAGGCTCTGACTTTAGTCACCAAGTGTCCTGTGTGCACGTTGCGGGGAATCTCCTCCACACCTTCAGCAGAACCATTGGAGCTGACTGGATACAGGATGACTGGAGAGTTGTCGTTCTGATCCAGAATGAACACGTTCACTGTCACGTTGCTGCTCAGAGACGGAGCTCCAGAATCTGTGGCCACAACTTGGAGCTGGAAAGTTTTCAATGTTTCAAAGTCAAAACTCTTCAGCGCAGTTATTTGTCCTGTATCCGAGTTTATATTTAGGAAGGATAACACATCATTTGCTTTTCCTTCTCTAACAATGTGATATGAAATAGCTGCATTTTCATTTGCATCTCTGTCTGTTGCTCTAACAGATAATATTGCATTTCCCGCAATGTTGTTTTCTTTGAAGTAATAGTTTATTGGGTTTTCTGAGAAATGTGGACTGTTATCATTTACATCAGATATCTTAATGCTAAATGTATTAAAAGCTGATAAAGGCGGTTCCCCACAGTCAGTGGCTTTTATTGTTATGTCATACTGTGACACAGTTTCTCTATCTAATCTACCTTTAGTGACAACTGAGTAAATGTTTTCCTTATATGAAGGTTTAAGTTCAAAGGGCCCATCTGAGGTAATGCTTGTAATTATTTTCCCATTAACTCCAGAGTCTGTATCTGTCACAATAAGCAGTGAAATAACTGTGCCAGGCTTTGAGTCTTCAGACACTGAATTTGACAGTGATGTGACTTCAATCTCAGGTGGATTATCATTCATATCTTTTATGTTTATGATGAGTCTACACTCACCTGTTAGTGGAGGTGTCCCTTTATCTAACGCCTCAATGTCCAGTTTATAAATGCTGGTTTCCTCATAATCGACAGCACCTTTGATTCTTATCTCACCTGTAATTTTATCCAAATCAAAATTATCATAGACTCGTTCGTTCAGTGTCTTTCCAAAACTGTATTCGATTTCGCTATTCAAACCCTCATCTGGGTCAGTTGCGGTTATTTTAAATATTGTGCTGCCAATTATTGGATTTTCTTGTACTTCAATTTGATAGGTTTCTTTACTAAATTTAGGACGGTTATCATTACTGTCCAGAACAATAACAGAGACATTCAATGTTCCTGATCTCGGAGGTTTCCCTCCATCTACAGCTGTGACCACCAATGGATGGTTATTACTCTGCTCTCTGTCTAAAGATTTCTTCAGCACCAGAAATGGTGTTTTATCCCCGTCGCTTTGACGGACATCTATCTCAAAGTGTTCATTCGGTGTTAGTGTGTACGTACGTATTGAGTTAGAGCCTGCATCTGGATCACGAGCAGCGTGCAGCTGAAATCGCCTCCCTGGTGACGTTTGCTCGAATATTTTAAACGCTTGTTCTTCTTTGGGAAACCTAGGTGAATGATCATTTACATCTGTGATTTCTACAGCCACGTAGTGCATCTCCAAAGGATTTTCCACCAGGATTTTTAGCTCCACTAAACATGCAGCGCTCCCCTGGCAAAGCTCCTCCCTGTCGATTTTCTTCCGGACAAAGAGATCCCCGCTGTCCTGGTTCACATCAAAAAGTGTGTCCTTGGATCCGGAGACGAGCCGAAAACGTCGATCAGGTAGCAGCGAGAGATCCAGGCCAAGATCCTTGGCGAGATTCGCAACAACAGATCCTTCTTTCACCTCCTCCGGTACGGAGTATCGTATCTGAGCAAAGCCCCGCTTTCCGACGAGAAGACAAATAAATACATGCAGCCAAAATAAATTGCATTTTCTTCTGCTTTGCATATAGTTACCCATCCTTTCGTGACATAAAGAACTGGAATGGAAATTAAAAGTGATTTATCGCGGAACGATGCTGCAGCTGCAGATTGCTCGACGTCAGACGCATTTCTGCTTTAACACGCAGAACAAAGACTTTTGCAGGGAGGAAACATCATCCGTTCTCAGTATTGCAGTGACACCCAGAGTATGTTCAACGGAAAAGATGTAAGGCACAATAAGGCTGTGTAATTTACAGATTTCCACTCACATCCACTAAAATTTAAAACAACAAAACGTGTCAGAGCGATGAATGAGTGGAAAACGAGCTCACAGGAAAACACGACTATAAATATGAGTTAGAGAGGAAGTTTAAACATGGAGGTAGCTGCAGAGAGGACAGAGAATGCTTTTAAGGTACTGAGATGAAGGAGGTTGAGTCTGCGGTGATAACCTGAAGAAGCAGAAACCGCATGAAAAAGGGGAAAATATAATAAAAATAAAAAAAAATGTCTGACATAATAAAAAAAATACTGGTGGTGAAAGCTCGTATAAGAAGTTATATTAAAATTATTATTATTAATATTATTACTATTATTATTATTATTATTATTATTATTATTATTATTATTATTAATAATAATAATATTGCAAAAACAACAACAACAACAAAAGCTTTATAAGTATCTTAAAAAGTTACTAGAGTTAAAGAATTCAGAACCATGGACAGTGATGGCCTATAACCCGCTCGTGGGGAAAATGTTTGAGACGTCCGTTTATGAAAACACCCCGGAGTTCAGACAAAGATGTTAATATTATTACTAACATGTTAATGCTCTTAAATGAACTACTTGCTAAAAATCACTAGGGAAAAAGTATAATTAGTTTTTAAAGCAAAAAAAAAAAAAAAAAAATGAAGAGGCTCAACACCGACAGCGTCACTTTACAGCCAGAACCAAAGCAGTAGCAGAGAACAAAAAGATGATTGCAGGTTGCAAACAATAAACGTTTGACGAGATTTTGCAACAGATGGTTTCCAATAAAAAGCCATATCCTACCTCCTCAGATGTTTTCCTCCTGTCAGGTAAGACCAGTGTGT